CTGGTTAAGTCAGTTCCTGATTCTGAGTCGAGCCCTAGTAGTACACCTGTTGAGGTGGAGTCCATACCATATGCTGCTAGTCCTTTGTTTGCTAATCATAATTCTTCTGACTTGCATGATTCTTCTGACTTGCATGACTCTTCTGACTTGCATGATTCTTCTGAATTGCATGATTCTTCTGAGCATGATAATACCACCACTTTGAGTGAGGTGGAGCATTCTCATGTGCATTCAAATAACAATGAATCGCATGATGAGAGTGCTGATTCTAGTGAAAATGATTTGCATGATTACCAACTTGTCAGAGATAGAAGTAGGAGAGAAATTAGGAGAACTGCAGATAGTATGCCTGATTTTGCTTTCCATGTGTGTGATACTTCTATGTTTGCTTTCTCTGTGTTTGAGACCCTTGAGCTTAACGAACCTAGAACCTATAGAGAGGCCCTTAAGTCTAACGAGTCCGCTAAATGGCTTTGCGCCATGGAAAGTGAGATGGAGTCACTTAGAGCGAATAAGACTTGGACGTTAGTTCCTAGACCGCCCAATAGTTTCGTAGTTGAGTGTAAGTGGCTATTTAAGGTTAAGGAAGAGCCTAACGACATTAGATATAAGGCTAGGTTAGTAGCTAAAGGATTTACTCAAAAGGAAGGTGTTGATTATGCAGAAATCTTTGCCCCTGTTGTTAAATTTACTACGATTAGAATGATGCTTGCTCTTGTTGCTCATAATGATTGGGAAATGAAGTAAATGGACGTCACCACTGTTTTCTTGCATGGTGATTTAGACAAGAAAATCTATATGACTCAGTCTGAGGGCTTTGTGGATCCCATGAAGAGTAATCATGTCTGTTTGCTTAGGAAGGCCTTGTACGACCTGAAGCAGTCCCCGAGGCAGTGGAATATCAAATTTGACCAGTGCATGTCATCTTTGAAGTTTCACAAGTCCGAGTGCGACCATTGCCTATACTTTAAAAATACTTCTTCTGTGCATGTATTTTTATTGCTTTATGTGGATGACATGTTGATTGTTAGTCCTTCGGGTGACGCCATTAAATGTGTGCAAAAGCGTCTCAACGAGAATTTTGCAATGAAAGACCTAGCTGATGCCAAAAGGATCCTAGGCATTAATATTGTAAGTGCAGGTGATATCAAGTTGATTAAAATTCCATCTGAATTTAATCCTGTTGACATGGGGACTAAATGTCTCTCTGTCGAAAAGTTGGTTTCGTGCAAGCGCACGTTAAACATTGATTGCGGATAAGTTGCCTGGTGATCTTATCCCTTTTGCCTGAATGTGTCTTTGTGATCATTCGGGCAATCCAGCGATGATGAGTCTCATATTGTTTTAGAGCGTTATGCTCTACACCACTAGGGTCCAATAAGGTGGAGAATGTGTTGGTATTGGCCCACTATTACCATAAGCCCAATTTCCCTTTAGCCTTTACCCGGCCCGTTGGTTTTATTCCTCACGATCGGCTTCCTCTCTTTCAATTGTTTTGGGCGATTCTTTCCTTTGCTAAGACCTGCGCAATTCAAACCTTACTCCATGGAAGGTAAGTTACCATCTCTGTTTTTTGGTTCGCCTATTTATTCTTCTCCTTGCTGATGGATTAAGGGCTGACCGAAACCCTTGCTTCTCTTATTTTCGCCTCTCTGTGGGTGCTCGATTGATTTGGCCGGAAATAGTCTGATGGCTGACGCCCCTCTTTCCCCTTAGTGATTTTAGTGGTGTTCTTCATCCTTTGTGGGTGAAACTTGGACGAGACCTGAGCTGGAAGTTGTACTTAAAACGTGATTTCTCCTTTCCGAAAGAACAGTTAGATCTCCCTAAGAGAAAGGCTAGGAAATCTCTTCGCGTGGAAGTAAACTGATAATACTGAATCTCGAAAACTGGTCACAGAATTATGAAGGAGGTGTATGTATCTATACTAGTTCTAAACTAGTTTTCCAATCACAATGAAAGCGTTTCTCATTAAGGAGTTCTAGTCCTCATAGGATCAATACACATTAATGATTTAATTAATTAAATAAATAAAACAAACCAATAATAATAGTGAAGTGGCTCCATGCCACTTTCACTTATTATTATCATTTATTTTATTTTCTCTCTTCTTTTAATTCTAAATAAAAGTGACAATTTTATTTAATTAAAAATACATCTTAATTAAGTATAATAAATCTAATTTATCACACTTAATTAATTCTATCTAATAGAAAAATCCTTCAACATGATGGATTAAATACATTAATCCAATTAATATTTAACTCATCTTATTTCCAGCATTATGAATTAAATATTATTTAATCCAATTAATAATATTTAATTCCTTCTAACAATTCAATCTGAATGTATAATCACTTGTTGTGTGACCCATAGGACCTTATATATTAAGCACCAATCAAATTAAGGTCTTAGTAGAATCTCTAGACGATTTACGAGACAAACTTAATATATAAGTACGTTTGTGAGGACTATTCAAACTCCCTGTAACGATCATATTCGATATCCAAAATGAATATATCTTTGCATTGGCCAATGACTTTATGATCCATCTAGATATGAGAAGTAGAACTCTCTCTCTTAATCTATTACGAGGAATGAATCCTTTCTTGGCTCAACTACTACTCTATGTGCTTCGTGATGCACCCAACACATGTCGTATCTACCCCGATTGGAATGTAAACGTTGGTCATCGTCAAAGTACATCACTCTACACATGTAGTATGTATTAACATCAAGTCAGAGGACTATTACACTACTCTATACGCCGATAATCTTATAGACATATGATTAGAAATTATCAAATGGTTTCTCGTTGGGTATGCCAATATTCTCTAAAATATCTATGTGACCATCATGTATTACAGGATGATGCAGTCCACATACCAATCTTATCACATATCATCAATATCCCTTTCTTGATGATCATTGATCGGGGCTATTTTAGGACCTTATGTTATATCATGTAAGCTCCCACTTACTTATTGACAACATAAGTCCAAGGGAACATAATTATAAATAAGACATTGACAATCAAAATGCTTAATCATCAATGTGCAATACCATATATATCAAATATATAAAACCGAATGTGATCGAGTACATATATCTCTAAAAGTGATTGTTGCTAAAACATATATACTAACATAATCAATACTGTCATGATATGTATATCGTATCTGATAGGCACAAAGGTATTTTTAGTGCTGCTCATAAAGTCTTTCAACATGCTATTCATGGCTTTTGTGTTGAGCACCTACGTCGCAACATGACTTCAAAATTTAGAGGTGCCTCAACTATGAAGGAGTATGAACAGTATTTATCATTGCTAGAAACCGAAGATGTTTATATACGTGCAGGGATTGATAAAATTGGTGGTGAGAAGTGGGGCAAAGTGTTTGTCTGGTGCAAGGAGATTTAGTGTCATGACCTCTAATTGTGCAGTATCATTAAACAGTCTTAATGTTTTTGCAAGAGAATATTGTGTGTCCAAACTTGTTGATTTCTTGCGTGAAAGAATGCAACAATGGTTTATTGAACGAAGAGAAAAAGCAGAATCTACACATACCATATTATCTTAGAAATATGAAAAACTTCTTGTTGCGTTTCAAATAGAGTCAAGGTGTATGAATGTATTTAATAGCATTTTCTCTATTGTGCTTTCTCAATTTAAGATACTATACTATATTAGTTTCTGCCATGTACTAGTGTTTGGCATTTAAGGTTTAGATTGCCATTTACGAATGCATATTGCCATTCCTGTGTTCTTGCTACATATCGTATTGGCTCTTCTGTTGATTTTTCTGATAGAGCAAGCTTCATTTCTTGTATTTTTTCACTTCTTGTCTTACCTCTTTGTTAGTTTTAGGTCAAGCCATCTTGTGAGTACGAGTTTGAGGTTATTGATAAGAAGTGTAGATGCTTTGTTGTGAATCTCAAGTCCAAAATTTGCACTTGTGACGAGTTTCAGTTAGATCATTTTGTTTGTGTGCATGATGTTGCTGCAATTGGTTCGCGCCGTGGTTTATCATGTTACAGTTATATATCCTCTTATTACACACAAGCGAGTTTGTTGGCAACATGGAGCGGTATAATGCATCCTATTGGTGATTCTGCAGATTGGGTCATTCCTTCTAATATTTCAAGTGTTCGTTGCAAGCCTCCTAGTTGTTTGAAGCGGCCACCTGGGCATCCAAAAAATTCAGAATTCCATCAATAGGAGAATAGCGGGGTTCAAAGCATCAGAAGTGTTCACGTTGCAATGTTGTTGGCCATAATAAGAAGAGTTGTTCTAATGCTATTCCAGAGGATAAGAATTAATAGTTTTACATTTTTTCCAAGCTTTGGACAAGTTACATTTCACTTCGTTATGGTTTTTGTAACTATAAATTTATTTTCTTACGCATTGTTCTGTTGTGGGCAGTTTTCTTCAACTTCTATTTCTAATTGTCTCTATCCCATTGGCTCCTCCCCTGAATTTTCATACACTGTAGAAATCCATGATTTTAGGAGGCAAAATTTTGATGCTTGGCTTGAATGGGCGGATATCTTTCAGTGAATCTCCCCTTCGGGAACTAGAGTTGTAAACTTTAACCTTTCTCATTTTGATGTCCAACATGAGTAATACCCAATGTTGACCAGTGTTCACAGGTAAGTATACAAATTGGCAATTACACTAGTGTAATGAAAACTTTGATGCACTTCCTAACACGCTATGCATAATCTCATCATCATCTGCAGCTTTCTCAATAGTTCCTTATCCATTGAGATTTTTTTCATGTTCACGCCTTAGTATTTGTACAAAAAACTTCTGTTCGTGGCATACTGTTGTTTCATGTTGTATTCAAGTCTTTTTACAGCCAAGTAGTACATTCCTACTTCGATATGTTGTATAATATAATATCCATCAATAAGAATGTTTTCCATATTTATATACATATATACACATAGTAAACTCAACTGGAACTAAGATGAAATTATTTTTCAAAGTTTCCTATTATTTTAACTTTCTGTCATTCTATCATTAAATTGACTTGATCTTAGTATAAGTCATATATGTTTCTGTCAACTATAAATTTTGGCATTTTGCTATTTATATAATTGTCATTCTATTAGCTATATATTTGGCATTCTGTTAGCTACATATTTGGCATTCTAGGTTGTACTACAAGTGTAAATGCAGATGCACTCATAATGTGTCATTTAGGCACTGCTCGTTGACATAGAGGTTGTATAGCCATGTTTTGGATTCAATTTTTATTGTATCCAAGAACATCAGAATGCCATGCATCATGTCCCCATCCTTCTTGTATCTTCTTTCTTCATTACCCTTCTTTCTCTGTTTTAGCAGTCCAATGCTTAAGAAGTTACCAACTCTCTGCACTTCATTTGCAGGTGGTGTGTCAGTTGGGTCTTCAGAGAATGGGACATATATTTTGCTTGTTGGTGGTAAAAATTCCTCTGTTCTTTTCCTTGCTTTTTCTTTCCTTCTCCTCTTAGCTTCCCCGCTATGTCCTGCCGGTGTGTACCGTGCTAGTGATTTAGCAATTCTCTTCTCCCTCACCTATGAAATTTGGACATGTTAATATACAACATCTATGGCAATAAATTTTCGTATTTAAATTAAGAAATAGTATTTTTTATAGTATGAATGTTTGTCGTGATTTTATCTGTTGATGTTGTCTGAAATGCCTCTTTTTCAATTCTATCCACATTGTTGCACACCTCTTTAACAAATTGTGAATTTTCTGGGGACCCCATTCCCCACATTTCAGTGCTTATAACATCATTTGGCATTTGCTTCTCATCTTTCAATACTCTTCTCTGCTCTTCTATCTCAGTGGTGGCCTTCCCCCCTTTTCTCCTCTATTCTCTTCTGCTCTTCTACCCCAGTAATGGGCTTATTTTAGTTATCACCTCTATGCTTTTCTTTCTCAGTATCATCTTCTAAATCCTTATCCCCCCTGGTTTTCTGTATCTGCTTCTTGAGCTTCTGTTTGAGATTCAAATCTAAATATGTTAAAATTTGGCATTTTGCTCTCTATCTCCTCAATATCATCCCCTGCATTCAGCTCCTCGTTTGCATTCCCTTTTTAGTCTCTGTATTTTCATCTTTACTATTTTCATCCTGCTTCTCCTTCTCTCTCTGATTTATCTCTTGTATATTGTCATCTTTGTCCAGATTTTCCAATTCTCTTGGCATTCCTCCCCCTTCTTGCTTATTCACTTCATAAAGTGACAGATCTTACACTGCACAATGCGAAGAATTCTACCTAGCACCACCCCTTGCTTCTTCTGAGCTCTCTTGATGTTTTTCACATCCTTGATAAGTTTTGTAGTTCTTGATACTTGCTTCCTTAGTGTTCTCGTCATTTTATTACCTACTGCTTCATCATCACTGCCATCCTCATCCCCAGTTTCCTCTTCCTTATAATCATTATCTTTGTCACAATCTTTTTCTTTTTCAACTTTCTTTCTGATTTTAGAAGTTCCTTGGTCATCATTTTTTTATTTGTTCTCCCATTTCCCACTTTGCTTTTTTCCCTTCTGTTTTTGGTTGTTTCCCCCTCTTTTTACTGACTTTTTAGCCTTGGAACACGATTTCCAACTTTACTTTGCACAGTTTCCTCAATCTCCACTCTAGCACCACATATGCTCCCATATTGTAAATTGTGTCCATCTCCTGTGATGGCTTCTTGGATCAGTGCAAGCTCTTGCTCCATTGGAACAATCTCTGCCCATTCAAACTGACAAACAAACATCTTAGTAAGATATGTATTTTCATATTAAATTTAGTAATTATATATCATAATTTCATTTACCTTCTCATTATAGAATATTAGGTCAAAAAAAACTTCCAATGAAGGTTTCTTATGGAATTCCCAATTCAGTGGCCTTGGCATGTTACTTCCAATGAATGTAACTCTTGCACATGTGCAGCTTTCCAATGCTTCACAGCTTTGTTTCATATAATTACGCAACTCATCCCAGACCACATCTCCCCATGGGTAAGCTTTAAAGTCCTCTAAATTGTCAACCAGATTCAAGTAATACGCTTCCATTGGCCTAGTTGTTTGATTTCCTAAGAACCCATGTGAAAGCACATACAGAAGTGCTAGCTTGACACCATCATACCTCCTTTCTCCTTGATGAGTGCTTTTGTATTTGTTTAGCACCTGTAGAATATCATTTCTTATCACTGTTCTCTTTCCTCCCATATATCTTGTCCATATATCTCTTGTTGGCTCTTCTGACATAACATGCTTCACCCCACTCAATTTCAAACCAGTGACTATTGCAAGATCTTGTTTTGTGAAACTTACTACACTTTTCTGTATATGAAATCTCATTTCCTTCTTGTCAACAAAACCATTTACATACCTGACATAATTAGCTACAAAGGCAAGCTGTAACTGTCCACTAACATAACTCATATTCTCAAAGTTAACCAATCACCCAAAGGCAGTTGTTCTGAAATCATCCAATTCATCCTTCGTTAAAATTTGCCTTATCTTTTCCATAATTTTGTGAAGATTGCAGGAGGAATTGACATGCATGTCATCAAGTTTATACAACATCTTCCTCTTGAAGTACCTTGTCATTGTATGTTAACTTCTCATTAGTATATAATTGTGAAAATCTTGTCAAAAAGTACTACAGAATGACATCAATATGTCAATTTGAAAATAAAAAAAATTAAAAAAACATACAACCTAAAAGGCGTTTTTAATATGTAATTCATATGTTCTCATTCTTGTGCTGTCATTTATATATTCTTCTGGAGTCATATATTGTAATCCTAAGCATTCAATAATTAAAAAAATGGAATTTTATGTTGATATCATATGAATATGCCATTTACATGGCACTTTGATATTTTTATAATCTGCATTGTCTACACAAAATAACTATCACATTTCATACTTCACTATTTTTCTCCAACCAAACAAAAATTATATGCCTAATACATTGACATATGACATTCATATACTTTCATCTAATCCATTTAAGTGGCATTCTGCTATAACTTCAATTGTGTTGCCTACATTTTACACACCAAATCAAATTAAATTCACATGAATTTGCCATGTGCATGTCTCTTTCACATTCTAATATCAGCATTCCATACACACAACAAATATCACATTTAGCTCCAACAAAAAAAACTATATGCTGAATACATTGACACATAACATTCATATACGCTTACATAATTTATTTAAGTGGCATTTTGCTATCACTTCAATTGTGTTGCCCACATTTTACACACCAAATAAAATAAAATTCACATGAATTTGCAGTGTACATGTCTCTTTCACATTGTAATATCATCATTCAATACACACAATAGCTATCACATTTACCTCCAACCAAACAAAAACTATATGTCTAATACACTGACATATGACATTCATATACGTTCATCTGATCCATTTAAATGGCATGCTACTATCACTTCAATTGTGTTGCCTACATTTTACACACCAAATCAAATTAAATTCACATGAATTTGCCATGTACATGTCTCTTTCACATTCTAATATCAACATTCAATAAACATAACAACTATCACATTTACCTCCAACCAAACAAAAACTATATGCCTAATACATTGACATATGACATTCATATACGTTCATCTAATCTATTTCAGTCGCATTCCGCTATCACTTCAATTGTGTTGCCTACATTTTACACACCAAATCAAATTAAATTCACATGAATTTTCCATGTACATGTCTCTTTCACATTCTAATATCATCATTCAATACACACAATAACTATCACATTTACTTCCAACCAAACAAAAACTATATGCCTAATACATTGATATATGACATTCATATACGCTTATCTAATCCATTTAAGTGGCATTCTGCTCTAACTTGAATTGTGTTGCCTACATTTTACGCACCAAATCAAATTAAATTCACATGAATTTGCCATGTGCATGTCTCTTTCACATTCTAATGTCAGCATTCAATACACAACAACTATCACATTTAGCTCCAACAAAAAAAAGCTATATGCCGAATACATCGACACATAACATTCATATACGCTTACATAATCCATTTAAGTGGCATTTTGCTATCACTTCAATTGTGTTGCCCATATATACGTTCATCTGATCCATTTAAATGGCATGCTACTATCACTTCAATTGTGTTGCCTACATTTTACACACCAAATCAAATAAAATTCACATGAATTTGCAATGTACATGTCTCTTTCACATTCTAATATCATCATTCAATACACACAACAACTATCACATTTACCTCCAACCAAACAAAAACTATATGCCTAATACATTGACATATGACATTCATATACGTTCATTTGATCCATTAAAGTGGCATTCTACTATCACTTCAATTGTGTTGCCTACATTTTAAACACCAAATAAAATTAAATTCACATGAATTTGCCATGTACATGTCTCTTTCATATTCTAATATCAGCATTCAATACGCACAACAACTATCACATTTACCTTCAACCAAACAAAAACTATATGCCTAATACATTGACATATGACATTCATATACGTTCATCTAATCCATTTCAGTCGCATTCCGCTATCACTTCAATTGTGTTTCCTACATTTTACACACCAAATCAAATTAAATTTACACGAATTTGCCATGTACATGTCTCTTTCACATTCTAATATCATCATTCAATACACACAACAACTATCACATTTACCTCCAACAAAAAAAAACAATATGCCTAATACATTGACATATGACATTCATATACTTTCATCTAATCCATTTAAGTGGGAAAATGTGTGGTGTACACCTTTTGTGTACACCTTTTGTGTACACACGTTTGTCCCCAGCAGACGAGTTGTCTGTCCACAGACAACTCTCAAGCAAAGTTGATTTAAGTGGCATTCTGCTATCACTTCGATTTTGTTGCCCACATTTTACACACCAAATCAAATTAAATTCAAATGAATTTGCCACGTACATGTCTCTTTCACATTCTAATATCAACATTCAATACACAAACAACTATCACATTTAGCTCCAACCAAACAAAAACTATATGCCTAATACATTGACATATGTCATTCATATACGTTCATCTAATCCATTTAAGTGACATTCTACTATCACTTCAATTGTGTTGTCTACATTTTACACATCAAATCAAATAAATTCATATGAATTTGCCATGTACATGTCTCTTTCACATTCTAATATCAACATTGACTCATTTAAAAAAGAAACTAATATTACTTTCGATATTTCTCAATTTAACTTTAACCTAACAAAAATCTATATACGATATACTGATATATGTCATTCATATGATTACATAAAGTTCAATGAAATGGAATTTTATGATGACATCATATCAAATGCATATCACTTGGGCACTATCATATCATCACTAACCTAACAAAATCTATACTTCAAATAATGATATTTGGCTTTGGAATTTCTGTATGAAATTCAACGAAGTCGCATTATATGAAATTCTTACATTTTAATCTAAAATTTCTATCATTATGCAAACATATTCCAAGTGCATGTCATATGTCAATCTGATTAAACAAAGGCCTTTTTTATTAATATTACTAATTTATATACAATAGACAAAAATGTGACTTCTTTTTAAGTTTTCCAAATATATGACTTACCATATCATTTGATCCTCATTTAATACTACATTCATTATTTTGATATTCTAATTTTTATAATTAATAAGTAATAAATTCCTCTAGCCACCCTGATGAGTACTGCCGCTGCCATCGCCGGCCCCGCCGCCGGTGCCTCCGCCACCGGTGTCACCGCCATCACAGTGACTTCATTGTCAACCTTTTTCAGTGACTTCGTTTTTCAGTGACTTCGTGATCTACCTTCTCCAGTGACTCCACATTCCGGTGTAATAAAGTAAACGTCATATAGTGACTCTGCTTCCATTCCCACCGCCACCATAGTGACTTCGTTGTCTAGACTTTGTTCTCCAGCTTCATATAGTGACCTTCTTATAGTGACTGCTAAACCAACAGTGACACTACCCTACAATGTACCAGAACACTACACACTCACAGCCCCCATAAAAAAACCACCGCCGAAGCTCTTGGTTCCCATGCACCAAAAGAATCTGAAATCTCAGTCGTTGTCTCGTCAAACAACAACACGGATGAAGCAAACGATCTAGGGATCCATATTTCGATCTAGAGGCGGCAGAATTTTGGGAAAATAAGAAAGGAGAAGAATATGGACTAAGTTATGGTGGCGGTGGGAAAAGCAATGGCGACAGAGGATGAAGCAGTTGTTCGGCGATTCTGTTAGTCGGCTCAGCATTGCGGCAGGTGCAGATTGCTGTCGGCGGTGCTAAACGGCGGTGCAGTTGCTTTCAGTGGAACTATGGTACGTCGCAAGAAGGAAGGTGGGAGCTCGAGGTGAAGCCATGGTCGCAGTGAAACTCCAAATCGAAGAAGAAGGCAATAGACATGTGATGCATGCATGAGTGATTGAGGCGGCTAATATTGTGAGGTTGTGTCTGAAAGATGTGATGTGGAGATCGGTTAGGGTTGGAGCTTATCCATTCCTTATTTAGTCATTTTGTTTTGTCAAATTTGAGATCTAGTCATATATTTCTTAAACAAAACAACGATCATTGATTATATATGAATTTAGAAGTAGAGGAATATAAGAATGCCACAGTTTTTTTCTGATACTTTCCGTTTTGGAATGAATTCTTATGTGTAGTGAACTTCGCATGTCAGATTCGAAATCAGAATCTTCAGTTTCACTTTGGAAATCAGAGTCTTCCATCTTCCTTCAACTTCAACCAGAGCTCGACTTTCTCTTTCTTCTACTTCCACTTCGCTGTTGGATAACTTGTGTGCGAGGCTCGAGATTTTGCTACGCATTCATATCTGTTTTTATTAATTTTGAATAACTCTGAGCTTTGGAAACCAAATTTCAGCGCGCTCGGCTTCCGTATCCGTTTCCCAATGGAAAACCGAAACGACAGTTTCCTATTCCCGTACTTGGCTGGAGGTTATAATTGGAAATCCAAATTCTTTTTACCCCTATGCGGAGGGATGGTAAAGTGGGACTCCTAATTTTCCAATTTTACTCTTATCTAGTCTTACT